CACACGCAAGAAGCTGTGCAGTCAATAGTACTCATATTGCAGTAGAATTACTAATTCCAACCCTTGATCACAACACTTCACTCGATCTAAATAACGCACAGAGTTCATAGATGTGCTAGAAGCTTGAACTTGATTAATGCAGCACACCTGTAAATAGCAACATTCTTTCGCTTGAGAAATGTGCTTCATAACAATGCTTATCTTGATATATAACTTAAACAAATTGTGCAGTATGAAAGATGTATACATATATACTTTCTTTAATGCTTGTGTATTCTAGATTGGTGCTACTATTGCATATGGTTAGACAAATCTCTCTATCTCTGACTTCCGTTGCTGCAGTATTTTTATTTTATTTTGGTGAACTCTTTTGCTGCAGGTTTATTTATTAATGTATGATGATAGGTGTAAATTTCAAATTGTAATTTTTTTTTTCAAAAAATCGAACCGAAATCGTTTGAAATTGCATCGAACCGAATCAAACAGTTTGATTTCATTCGTTTTGGCTTCAAAACCGCACCGTAAAAAGCTTCAATTTTAGTTGCGGTTGTGGTTTCACTCAAAATCGTACCGAACCGCACTGCGTCCACCCTAAGTCTTAAATTGAGCTGGTGAGACACATAGCCATGGAAGCTATCTTGAAACCCTAGAGTTGAAGGACGAGAAGACCTCTCCTCTCCTCTCTAGAGGGTTTAAAGGAGGTCCTCATGAACTGTCACTCCAATAATTCAAATGGTCACTCAGATGGTCCGCATGTAGTCAAACTCACTATTGGGGACCTTGTTTGCCTTTAAAAAGTGAAGCTTTCCCTCTTGCTGATCCGCCGAAGAGAAAAACCAAAGAAAAATGATGGGTAAATATGTCAGTCAACATTCTTTCTGGGAGGTAGATAAATACACAGTAAAAACAGAATGCTAGGTTGGTATATAGGCTGCTTTGATGGTGACTCATCAACGTTTTCATCCCACTGAAGATTCGATCATATACAGAGGTACAGAAGAAAAGTGAATATGATGATGCGTGTCACGATGTTGGGGAGTGCATTATTGTGAAAGGAAACCTAGGAGGAACCCAGGTTTATTTGCATGCAAGGTTGAGAGGGACGATGAATGTCCACAACTGTTCAACCCTAACCCTAATGATAGACCCTCTTGACTGGACCACCTTACTCATCTCTCCTGCTGCCACACCACCATCTACAAATATATATATGTATATATATACAGAGAGCTTAAGGGGAAGGATCCCTATTTTTTGAAAAAAATGGGGATTAGGTGTGGGGCCCACTTCACATCTAATTTCAACGATTCGAACCGTCTATTTTGTTAGTCTCGATTCATAGATCATCTTTGCAAAATATTAGCTAAATTGGAAATGTTTAAGATATCTAATTGGGTTCAAGGAAATGAACGAATACTTTGTTATATAAGAAAATATGAAATTTGATATTGATAATTAAATAGGCAAATGGTTTCGGATTGAATTGAATTTTTGCAAGGATGATCTATGAATCGAGACTAACAAAATAGACGGTTCGGATCGTTGAAATTAGATGTGAAGTGGGCCCCACACCTAATCCCCATTTTTTTCAAAAAATGGGGATTCCTCCTCTTAAGCTCTCTGATATATATATATATATATGTATGTATGTATGTATGTATGTATGTATGTATGTATGTATACATGTAGAGGTTTAGGGTTTAGAGAAAGAGAGTGAGAGAGAGAGAGAGAGAGAGTAGTATAAGTACTTGTTTGTACTACTGCATTATTTTTCTGTATCAAATAGTTTGCAAGGACGTACGTACAATGTGGTAATGCATTCCATTCCAGACATCCCAGCATTGTGTGTTTGTTATTTGCCTATCGATCAAATTGTATGCACCAAATTAACGATACTTATTTTTTGACTTTTGAAAAAGGTAAATTGTCATGACAAAACCATTAACTGTTTTTTTTTTTTAAATTAATTAATTAAATTAACGACAGTTATCAAATTGGATGCACCAAATGTGAAGATTTTAGCTAATTTTTATTTATTTCTAGAAAGTGATTTCAAATTTTGACAGAAAAAAAAACAAAAAAAAGATGACTTCAAATTATTTATTTACCCTCCCCCCTTACTAAGACTACATAATATTATTGTAAATTATGGCCTATACCAAGTATATGTATATATAGTGATTTTCAAAGATTAAGTATACACTAGCAACTTTACTTCGGTAGAGTTTTAGCTTTTTGAAGGTTAGTGGAAAAGTTGACAAACAAGTCATCTTTACTGTGCCAATCTACATAACTGTATATGACGGCTCCTCATTCATTTTTTTTTTGTCATTAAATCCTTTTTCTCATTTGAGAAGATCTCTTTCCTTAATATTTCATTTGACTATCTTAAAATCTAGGATGCTTATATTCTTAGACTATATGATTTGAATCGTTGATTATTGTCTAAGTCTGTGATTCAGACTCATATATTGTATGAAGACGAGCACTTGATTTCGTGGCGTAGTTTCGAAAACAAATTTATTGAGTCTGGTACTGTTGTGTACAGTTCGTGTGGAACAAGCTATTCATCTCCATATGCATAAATAGTGCCACTCGAGAGTAAAATACTCCCAACTGCCATGCAGTGAATGCAAACATTACCCTTCGCGTGCAGAGTACAGAGGTTGCTTTACTAGGTAGAACATTTTTGTTATGAATTATCGTTAAGAAACTATTATTAACACATCAAAATATATTCTTTTAAGAGAAAGCGTTTTAAGCAAGGATTATATCTTATGCAGATTTTTACTGGTTATTGAGAATAAGTTCTCAATTCTCTTTGTGAATTAAATCAAGCGATTATTGTCTAAAAATTTTCAATATGCCACGGACCATTTCATTATTCAATCTCTCTAGTCTCTGGTGATGAAAGAACAAAAAAACGAGAGCAAAGTAAAACAGTTACACTTCAAAGTTTTATTCTAAGATTTTATTTTAAATGTGAAAAGTACACTATCATAATTGTATTTTGATTTAATAAGACAATATCATATAAAGTAAGAACAACATGTGTCCTTATGTTATTGAATTGAAATCTTAACATGACGAAGTACTCAATCTATCTAAGTTTCTTCTCTTGTTTTCCCACGATAGTGCATCCTATAAATGGAAATGAGATTCACTCTCAGAAAGATTTGAATGGTTCAAGTTTTTTATTTTTTTTTATTTTTTATGAAGTGGATCAATGGATTGAGGTAAAATATATGATTGAAATTGAGGGAACTGAATCTCTCTCGATCAATGATATATGATCTTTTAGTTTGTGAGCTCCGGAGACCGAGATTCAAAAAATGATAGACAAAAGGGGGTGAGATTAAGATTGATAGGGTAGGGCAGGAGCTAGGGTTACTTTGATGAGTTGATTATTCAAGAGGTAGGAAGACAACACCAGCAATGGCAGCATCAATGAACAGTAGTGAATTAAGAGATTGGTTGAATACCCCATGTGGAAACTGATATATATAAATATATATAATTGTTATTGGTACTTTAAAAATCTTATTCTACACTTCTTATAAAATTATTATTTTTTTTAATATAAAAAATTTGAAATATAAAATAAAATTTTTAAAATATTAATAATAATTCCATGTATATATATATATATATAATATGTAAGACTGCAAATTCTATAAAAATAAAATAAAAGAAAAAGTGGAAATGAGGAGGCGAAAGGCTAACAGAAAACCTTGCTGTGAAGCGCCAAATAAAGCTATGACATGACGTCAGGTTCAGGTTGTACCAAGATGCCAGTCATAGCCCACAGCCCTATCCTATCCTGTCCTTTCCTATTAACCCCTACAAGTTTGCAGAGAAACAGAGAAACAAAGAGAGAGAGACAGAGAGAGATCTTAAAAGTGGCTGAGAAAAAGATATTTGTATAAAAAGGCTTACAACTTTGGCACTTTCTACTTAAAACAAGAGTTTGATACCCATAAATCAGATAAGCTCTTTTAATTTATCGACTCAAATGCTTGAAGAAAACATACGATAACCACTTTTTATTTGCAGATACAGTAGTTAGTTTTGAATTACTCTTGAATACAAACAATATTCTTATTACTATGAAGGAGAATGTTCGAATTTGAGACGCAATAGGTTGAGTAATGCCTCAACCACTAATACAATACACCATTTTAAGATTTTGGTTCTTAAACTAAAAGTTAGTGAATATTATTCTTTGAACTTGTTATAATGTGAAGCAATGATTTGTTTAGCTAACTCTGTTATATCTTCCATCTAATATATACGAATTTTAACAGAATTAGCCAAAATACTCATTACTCAACAATTCTAATGAATCCAAAAACTAATATATACGAATTTTTAATTCAGAAATTAAAATTTGAATTTGGCTAAAGTTCACGAATCATATTTGCAATTGCCTCTTAATAATATAAAGGGCAGGTAAGTCGAAAAGGCTGGTGCCCGGCGATGGTTCAGACTGGGGACTCTCTGGGGTAATGATGAATGGTTTTACAGTTTTAGTATTCGAGACGTATAAAAGTACAACAGGCTTTTCATGCTGCTCGTTAATCACAAGCACTAAATTACACAAAATAATAACACCATATTAATATTATTATCTTACTCTTTTGTTTTGTTCTTCTAATTTTACAGACTGGACGAGGATTCTATCGGTCCTTTGATCCCCTATTTGCAGTGCAGGGCCTGCAGGCAGATAAAGCATCACCACCTCTTCAGCCTTAAAGCCCAGGAACGCGGATACTTTTTACTTTACCTTCTACTTCCAAGTTTGAATCCCCCAGCACAGATATGGAACATATTTACCAACATAAATCTCTTCCTCATATTTTTAAATTAGTTTCAAATTGAATATATGTTTGAATTTTAATATCGTAAAACTCCGTACCAATATATAATTTTTGTACAGGTGATAATTTATCCTTAACTAATCTATATATTACGGAAAAAGAACTTCGAACTTTAGTGCAAAGGGCTTGCTAACTCATAATACATACACAAAGTTTGAAAACAAGGACCAATCTGGGATATCAGAAACATATTAGCATTCCTGCTAAAGTACTACAAAGTACAAACGCTTCATAAGTAAAACAAGATTTGAAGTTTTATTCTAAAGCTGCAAAAAGTACACTTTGCTCCGACTGCGTTTCGGCACCCCAAATGAAGCATGGAGAACAATGTGTGACCGGAAGTCTATGATATTCGCTGGCCGAAGGCAAAGATACCGCAGTTTTTCCATGCCATACCAAAATGCTCGATTTCATAAGCTTTACATAATGCAAGCAAAATAAAGTTGACAACTACTAAACTTACTTTTCTCATTCCTTGTTACCTTGCCTCCCTAAAGAGTCCGAAACTACATTCTAGATTAAAATACTAACCTATCATGACCTGCTTCTGGTTTTCAGCTTCTGCAATAGAAATGGGGGATGTTGTTGGTGAATGATGGTGAAAAATGGTGGTGGAGAATGGCCGTGTTAGGGAAATGAAGTTGAGTGACAGCTGATGACGATGAAGTGGCTGTTGAAGAGGGGAATCCTGATGATGCTGCAGCAGAGAAGAGTGGCATGGAGGTTGCCCCGCCATTCAGGCCTTGGACTTGCCATGCCCAATTGGGAAATGAGTTAACATCCATACTCTTCTCCGTTGCTCTTTCCTGAAAACAATAGAGACATTGAATTGTTAACGGACAAAGTAAAATGAGAATTGTCAGTAACTGGCAATAAACATGAAATACAAAGAATTTTGTCACGTTTGCATTAGGGAAGATTGCGATGCTTCTTCCACAAATTAAAAAAGAAAGGACCAATAAGGTTTAACAAAAGAAAGAAATGAAAACCCGAAAGGTAATATTTCACTGAAGATTTAACAAAAAAATTTAACTGTGACAAGAACATTAATCAAATGAAAATTTGCAAAGGTCAACAAGAAATACTTAAGGAAGAAGAATTAAGGTTTTATAACTTCATATCCGAATAAAAAGTTATAATGACTAGAAGTGACGAAATATTACCATATGAAAGGGAAAGAAACTGGAATTCATGTTGCTCATTATAGGAGGCTCCTTAGACGCCACAATTGAGCCATGAGAAAGATGAGACCTCATGGGTGCTGGAACAGAGATCTCATTCTGTAAAGAGAACAACGAATTGCTTAAAACGGAGTAGCTTAAGTTGCAATGAACATATAGATACAAGATCACGGATTTCTACACAACATAAAATGCGAATTGAACTGATAGGGGTATTCAGAAATTGATCTTAACATACCCTTGCTCTCAAGTGAATGGGAATGTCGTCGCAGCCTAGCTGAAAAGGAAAGCTTCTCAAATTCATGTTCTCCTTTTGGATTTCAGAAACCAAAGGCGGAGCAATTCCTAAGTTCAGATCAAGACTCTGGTGGCTGCCTGTACCAAGAGGATATTATATACATATTTACTGACAAAAACAAAAAAGAATTGTTTGATTTGGTTTCTGCTAAATTGATGTTCTCTAACAACACTAATACCTTCGTTATTGGCCTCAGACATTATCTCCCCATCATACGAGCTTCGATCAAAGTTGGTGACCGCTTCTCGTCCATTGCATTTGATGGCAGCCTTGTCGTATGCCCTGGTTTCAAAGAGCAACACTATACTGACTTAAGTGAATCCCAAGGTCATTAAGATCTCAAAGTCTAGATATCGAGTAAAATGGTGCCTATATAATATCGTAACGACCTTGCAGCTTCAATCTCGCTATCAAATAGGCCAAGGTATACATACCTGCAGGCAAGCAATGAAATACCATACCCAATGAAAACCAATTTCCCAATTCATCCAATCAATTTACATAAAACCAAGTCCCAACTATTTACTTGGTCCTCGATGAACACAATTCTTTGTATCGTTCCCTTGTTCACTGATCATAATCACTTAGACCACATACATAAAGGACTATGAACATCCATATTCCGAAAAATAAGGGACAAAATGATACTTCAAATAAGAACAGTGAAAAAGAAAAGGGTTCTTACTTCTTGCCTAGAAACTGGCCCATACGAGCTTCCCAGCGGCCGCATTTGTGCAGAGTGACTCCCCTGAATTTTGAGCTTCCTCTGGAGAAACCAGTACTCTGGCGACGCAGGATATGCACAAACTCTTCCTTTGTAAAACTACTCATCTGCATTGCAATCAAAATCAATCCCAAATCGAAAGAAACAAAACAAAACCAGTAGAGCTCTCCACATTACATCCACAATGCACTCAGAAAACCGACCTGCTTAATATCATCCTCATAATCACTGACACTGAAATTAATATCAGCCTCAATTCCGCGGAACTTGATCGCAGCTCGATCATACGCCCTAAGATCATTTTACCACAACCACAAAATTACCCAAAAAATTAACCGCTTGAAAACCAAGTTTTACATTGAAATATTTACTGTTAACACTTCTGAGTTTCTTAGTTCTTACCTAGCAGCAGCATGGGCAGTGTCAAATCCTCCTACAAAATATTCAAAAATTAAAAATAATCCGCTAGAAATAAAAAAAAAATAATAATAATAAAGATTAAATGCTGGATTTTGATTAATTTTTCTTACCCAAGTACACTTGTTTCCCGCAATCCCTACAAAATAATCGACAGCGAGAGGACTCAAATTCAGTACACAATCAGAGTATCCAAACAGAGTAATAGTACATCAGTATCACTGTAACCAAACACCAACCAAATATGGGATTCCCATCTCCCGGTCCTTCGATAAAACGTAACGCCCCGATACTGCGAGCTCCGGGACCTGGGCCCTCTCCGGCTCTTCTTCACCTGCTGCGGGCGAGCGATCCTCGGCTCCGCGGGAGCATAGTAAGTCGGCTCAAGCTCCAATCGGGAACCGGACGATAGTCCCAGCCAATGCTTTTTAGAAGCCGCCGACGACGAAGAAGAAGAGCTTACGGATTGTGCGAGTGGAAAAAGCTGGATGGTCCTCCGACCGTCTTGGTGATTGGCGGATACGCCGTCGTTCGGAGCAAGGAAATTGAGAGTAGTGGAGTCGTCATCGTCGTCGCCGGTGACAGTGAGGTTGGAGGAGGAGTTGAAGCTTCCGGAGCATTCGACCGGGGAGGGGGTGAGAAGCTTGTTTTGGGACATGGAAACGTCGTCGCGGGAGACGAAGCCGAGGTTCAGATCTAGCATTGCTGGTGGTTTCGGATTGGGACGTTGATTCAGAGGGCGGTGGAGGAGGAGGAGGAGGAGGAGGAGGTGGGGAGGAGAAAATGAGGGAGGAGGGGGTGGGAGGGAGGCATGGAGGTGCTTTGTTTTGAACGTGTTTGATGAAAGTACCGAGAGAGAATTTTAGAGACGGAGAATCTGGAAGCGCCGGCGCGGGAGAATCGTAGGGAGGCGGAGGCCAGCTGTGTGAGTGAGTGAGTCACCGAGTCTCTCTTTGTCTTTCATTCATGCATACCCACAAGAAATAGAGGAGTTTATAAAGTTGTTAGAGAGAGAGGTTAGATTAACCGCTTGGTGATGGAGGAAAGAACAAGTGTCTCTCGTTTCTCACAAAAAAAAAAAAGAACAAGTGTCTCTCTCCTAGTTTCCAAATTTCTATTCTTCCTCCTTTTGTTTTTGGCGCGTGTAGCTTTTGCATCTACTACAATATACAACAGCTAACCAAGATAAAAAATATCGATATTATCCCAATATTTTTATCGAAATTTTCATGTTTTTGGATTACCGATATTTTTGATATTATTGATATTTTAGACCTTGATAGGAGCTCTATGTAGTACTACGTCACTCATGTATCTTACCATGCAATGTATGAAGTGTAAAATATTGTACTAATTCATTATATATAAACGATTATGGTGTGTTTAAACTTCTTTCATTAATTACTACATATTTTATATACTCATAATGTTTATCAGCTCGTTATATAATCAACTTAGATCAGTTAAATCCATCATGCAATGCATTTCCTTCTAATTTTTTTTTTGTGATAAACTAATAGATAATTAACTAAATAAACATCCTGCAAAGTTTCAATAAAAATTTCCAAGTTTTTCTTACAATTTCCGTGGTTTTTATTCAATTTTTATCGATATCGATAATATCCCGATATTTCCATAAAAAATTCTATATTTTTAGACTACCGATATTTCTGATATCATTGATATTTTATACGTTTATAACTCATGAGACAGGGTTAATGGGACGTGCCACTCTTTCCCGCATCCCACTTCTTGCTCACCCATAAGTTTATTCTTCAAGTGCTTGGCCCAATTAGTATTCTGGATTCAAACCTCCCAACCCCCTTTTTTTTATTCCCATGTTGAAAAATTTGAACCAAGTGTGGAACTATTTACGTCGTAATAAAGGTGTTTTGCACACAGCGTTTTACCCTTCCCCTTTTCTTTTCTTTTGGTTCTCTGGTTCTCTTTGCAGTTGTTGTATGACATCGGATCTCGGAGGTTCGATTTGATTCGGTGCTTCAAGATTAATCTTATGGTTTGTGTGTGGTTTTGGATTTGGTGCAAGCATGATGTGCAGTGCAGGCGCAACGGGCTACTCTCCGGTGTTGGAGATTTAGAGGTTTTTGTTGCTTTTGTTTTTGTTGCTAAGTTTAAGCTTGTCTGAACCTCCCTAGTTATTTTGGGTTATTCCTCACCTTTTGTTTTGGCCCTTTATTATTGTACTAGTTCTTCTTTTTAATGAATTTCCTCTTTTTAACCAAAAAAAAAGATAATGGAACGTGGTCTCACATACATCAACGGTTATAAATTGTTCGCTTGTTTGGTTGTCTGATTGTACTGCAACTCAAACAAAAAATAATATTATGTAACTGAACATTGTCGTTAAGTAATAATAGTTCTTGTACTTGAGTAAGTTTCAACGCGCATTTCAACCATTGACGATAGCACTTCTTAAAAACGTTAATTTCAAAACGATTATTCATAAAATATATAAGATACTTGATTAGAGAACAATCATTTTTTTTAAATAACCGATATTATCTACACTAAAAAAAAATTAGAGAAGAATCATTAACTTCTAATTATTTAAGACAACATTCAATAATAAGAATCGTTGTATTGCCTTCTAGATGAAAAACTTGGACTTGGGGGTTTCAATGGTGGGATTTGGATCCTCTCCTGAGCGTCCCGGGGGGGTCCGAATCCTCCTGAGCAGATAACAAGGGCTATTGGATTTTAATCCAACAGCTACAAACATGAGATCTCTCTAAAAATTATAATAATTATAGCAATTTGATCAAAATTCAACGATCCTTGTTATATGCTCAGAAGGATTAGAATCCACTGCTCATGAGAGGATCCAAATCCTCAATGGTGGGCTGAGAATTGAGAGGGGGGGGTTAAATCAGTCAAAAAACGGGGTGTGAAAATGTGTCGGATCTTAAATATGTGGTGTGAAAAGACATTTTCTTGTTCATATTGCACCCAAACACACACGCGCACACCTCTTTCCTGTTCAGATTTCACCCTAACACACTCACACCCACAACCACACCCCCACCCCTCTCTCACATGGCTGACACTTGGCCATTCGCATATATCGATAAATAAAGACTTCGTCCAAAACATTATGAGCTTCTTTAGAAATGGTTTAAAAATAATTGAAAGCTTTTTCATGAAATTTATTTTAGGATCAATTTTTGATAAAAATACAAGTAAATTTAAAAAAAAAAATACATGAAAGTGCTTCCTGTAAAATGCACTTTACTTATACTTTTTGCAATATTTCAAATGTTTTTGAAACTCAAAAATATTTTTTTAAAAACATTTTCAATTATTTAAAAAACTCTTTCGTACAAGTTTTATAACTTTTTGATTTTATTTGGTCGGGGTTAAATTGGACACACATTATGCATTTTCTTTTTTATCTTTTTTTTTTTAATGTTTGCTTGTGAAGTTACAACATAGGATGAGTGAATCAAACATTGAATTAGATGAGTTATTAATAGTTGTTAAATTCACGTACTATGATTCCTCTTAACTTGTAAGTGAAAGGTCCTAGGTTCGATTCTCGCTAAAATGAATTTAAACCACATTATTGCTAACTCATTATGAGGCTAAGCCCACCCCCACCCCTTTAGATCATCTCCAACCACGAGGATAAAGCTTAAGTGATTGTTTGGATGTGTTTTTAAACTGACTGAAAGAACTTTTAGAGAAAATGATTTTAGGTTCCAAAAGTACTTTTGCAAAAAGCACCAGTTATGTGCTTATTCCAGGAAGCACTTTAAGTGCTTTTCCAGGAATTACTTGCATTTTTACTAAAAATTGATTCCAAAAACATTTTTACCAAAAGCGTTTTCAATTATTTTAAAAGCACATCCAAATAGCTATAAAAATTTAAGCCAAATTTTTTTTTTGTCATAACTCAGAAACTGATTTTCTTCTCCAATGATTACAGCTTCAAATTTTAGCCTGAGATTATTAAACAATGATTTTAGCCTATTTTTTTTTGGTAACTTTTTAAAAATAAAATTTATGTATATTATCCTAATTTATTTTATGAACATTTTAACCTAAAAATATTTAAATTTCAATAAATAATTAAGAATCACATAAGTTTTAAGTGAAATTTGATTTAAATACTTTTTTTTTAAATTCTTTTAGACATTAGATTTAATTTTGGGTCTTAGATTTTTTTTTTGTATTAGATTTAATCTCATTTGATCACAGCCATTGGATTCTAAGTAAAAAAAATGTTTGAAATATGATAGTTTGGTGGATCCAGAATAATTTAAGTCAGCTTAATTCTAGGGAGAATCTAGCCCAAATATATATTTTCTCCCCAAGACTTATTTTAGTCCAATGGTTGGAGATGATTTGGGGGGAGTTTAAAATTTATATTTTAAGTTTTATCCCATGAGTTGGAAATAGTTTTAGTGTAAAAATATTGTCCAGAAAAAAGAAGAAGGAAAACTAATGAAAATGGCTTGAAAACTTTGAGTTTGAACAATAAAGACAAAATAAAGGGTAAAGTAAATAGTAGCTGTCACAGCCCGTCTAGAGAAATAATTATCGTTGATGTGAAAAGACTAATTTACCCTTGGACGTTAAAATGTGTGGCGCATGATTTGTTTTGAGATGGATTAATTAAGCTTCTCCTAAGTTTTTGGAACCACTTAGGAACTAAGAAGCTTTGGTTGTGATTGGGTTGTTGACTAGTTTTGGACCACACACATCACTCCTCCCTTTTCTCTCTCACTCCCGTACTCTCTCTCTCGGTTTTCACTCTCTCTTCCTTTTTTCATACGGACAAGCTTCAACTCCCCCCAAACCTTGCAGATTGAGGGTGTAATTGTCACTATTGTGTTCCTCGTGGTGCTACGAATTGTTTGACACCAGTTTCTGAGAAATCTAAGCTCATAGGAAGCTTAATGAGGTCCTCACGAGTCTCGGGGTAGTTCGTTCGAGGAATTTGGACGTCGGGATCGCGAGAAACGGCGAGTTGCAGTTTTGGTCAGAATTTTGAAGTTTCCCCGACATGATTTCGTGAGATTTGAAGCTTCAAATAGGTATAACGCCATTATTCTCACTCTAAGCTTTCATATGGTTTAAATTTCATGAAAATGGTTGAAAAACGAGTGAGAACAAAGGTTTTAAAGTTTTACCTAGTTTTCCGGCGATCGGCGACTCGCCGAGGACGAAGACAGAATCTTCTGTTAGTTTTGACGGAATATGATGACGCCGTCAGTTAGTTTGGACGGTTACCGTTGGACTTAACGAAATATTCCTAACGACAGTTAAGGAATCCGTCAGGATTCCCTGCACGTGGCCTCGCGTTTTGCCATGCACTCGCCGGCACGTGGTGGCGCGTAAGGGGTCCAAAAATTAATCTAAAAATATGAGGATGATCCTGAGGTTGTGTAGGTCACTGTGGTATATTCATATACCCATTTTGAGCTATGTATGAGAAGTTATTAGCTTGTTTTGTCTATGTGCTTTAAAATAACGTTTTTATAGTTAATTCGCATATAGGCGAGACTTATCTCGAGGACGAACTTATCCACGGGTGACTCGGGGGTTCCGACCAGTCGACATACCAGTGAGTGGGCTTTTGGTTTTTAGTATATATTATATACTTGATATTTTCCCAGAAAAATATGTTTAAATGTTTATGCCTTGAATGCCATGCATATGAGTCTATAATTCGTTTATGAATTGGTGTGTGATATGTTATATATAATTGTGGTGTTGTGGACGCTTAGGTAGGCCCAGGTAAGTCATGTTTGGTTATATGAATCATCGATGATGTAATATGTGATTGAATAATGTTGAGCTCATAAAACTACACCTAGGGTGATTGTGATTTAGCTAGAGATATGAAGTACATGCCTGTTTATTTATGTCACCTCCCACACCATATGCTCATATTGGATCTAACTTAAGTGCACAGTCTTGTCGTAGAAACCTTAATTATGGTTCCGACTCGTAGGTGACTAGCGATTTATCGCCCGACTATTATGAGAGAGTAAAATTAAGCATAACTATATTACACCCAATCTTGTCG